GAAGCACTGATTTCGGACAGTAGAACGTCAGTGCTCTTGCGCAAAATCAAGCGGCCAGTGTAGACAGTTGGCAAGTTTTTGCGCAAAAGCAACTGCTTTTGCACAAAATCTTGCCAGTCTAGACGCACCCTACGAGTACAGTTTAAATTCATTTTGCTATTTTTTATCCAAATTAGTATATCTATGTAATTTTCCTGCAGGTGGGAAGTTGAAATTTTTTTTGAAGGCCATGTGACATTGATTCAGCTTTGCACAGTACGTCTTCTCATTTCATCTGACTGAAGAGCTGATGATATGCTTCCATCCTGCAGAACATAAATGTGCTTTCAAATGTTATTTTTTCTTGTAAGACAACTTATTTTCAGGTAAGAAAAGCTTAGTATTATGAGACAAAGACAAGGCATCTTGAATCACAAAACAAATAAAACTAACAAAAACTACTTTCCCAAGTTTCAGAGCAAGTTATTGTATGTACAGCCATGTAACTGGATCTGCAATCTTCTCCAAGATTCATATCCATGAAGCTAGACCTGCATTTGTAACAAGCATGCAACTGTCCTCAATTTTACCTTAGATCAGACAGTTCCATGTGCTTGTGACTATCTAAGAAATACAAAACATCTGAGCCAAACTCAGTCCTCAAAGAATTTAGAAAGACAAAATATTTGTCTTACAAACAGTAGCCCCCTTAAGGTTTTTAATATTCCTACCACATTATAAATTGTCATATTTCATTTTCTGTAGTAATGTTATATCTATATAGTCTGTGGCAACACAATATAAAACATAAGACTATGGAATTATAGGCCTCAGCAGGATACTTATATCAAATACATAGCTTAGGAGATCATCTAGTCCAAGCCCCGGGTCAAAGCTAAACAAAGCTTAACTAAATCATTTCAACCAGGGCTTTGTTCAACCTTGCTTTAAAAACCTCTAGGGATGGAGATTCCAGCACCTCCCTAGGTAACCTATTCCAGTGCTTCATCACCCTCCTAGTGAAATAGTTTTTCCTAATATCCAACCTAATATCTTCCCCCAGCAACTTGAGACTGTTGCTTCTTGTTCTGTTATCTGCCACTACTGACAATACCTAGCTCTATCCTCTTTGGAATCCCGCTTCACAGAGCTGAAGGCTGGTATTAAATTGCCTCTTGTTCTTCTCTTCTGAAGACTAATGAGCACAATTCTCTCAGCCTCTGCTCTTTAGTCATGTGCCCTGGCCCCCTAATAATTTTTGTTGCCTTCGCCTGGTCTCTCTCTAATTCGTTCCATCCCTTCTGGGTGAGGAGTGGGGAGAGGGGAAACTGAATGCAATACTCCAGATGTGGCCTCACCAGTGCCAAATAAAGGAGAATAATTGCTTCCCTAGGGCTGTGTCTACACAGCACCCTAAACTCAAAATAAGATTACGCAATTTGAATTGTGCAAATTGTGTTCTTATCTTGAATCTATTTTGAAATTTGAAATTTGGTATGTCTAACAGCACCACATTTCAAAATAACATGCTATTTTGAGCCATCCCTTATCCCTCTTACAAGGAGGCTTACCGGGATGGTGAAATAGTGCACCCATTGTTTTGAAAAATATTTCAAAATAATGGGCAGCTTGTGTAGATGTAGGCTAGCTATTTCGGGATACCGGAGATATCCCGAAATAGCCATGCAGTGTAGACATATCCTAGAACTGCTCACAATGTTCCTCCTTATGCAGCTTAATATGTGGATAGCCTTCTTGGCAACAAGGGCACACTATTGACTCATATCCAGCTTCACATCTGCTATAATCTCCAAGCCCTTTTCTGCACAACTGCCACTTAGCCAGTGGGTCCCCAGTCCATAGCAGTGCATGAGATTCTTCCGTCCTAAGTGTAGGACTCTACACTTACCCTTGTTGACCCACATCAAATTTCTTTTGGCCTAATCCTCCAATTTGTCTAGGTCACTGTCCCTATGCTCCAGCATATCTACCTTCCCGCCCAGCTTAGTTTAATCCACAAACTTGCTGAGAGTGCAAACTAACCTATTTTCCAGATAATAAAGATATTGAACAAAACTGGCCCCATGTATGTATGCCCCTAGGACACTCCGCTTGATATAGGCTGCCAACTAGACATCAAGCATATTGATTTCTACTTGTTGAGCCTGCAATCTAGCCAGCTTTCTATACCTTACAGTTTATACATCCAGACCATATGACTTTAACTTGCCAGCAAGAATACTATGGGAGACCATATCTAAAGCTTTGTTAAAGTAAAGGTATATCACAGCCACCACTTTCCCCATACCCACAGAGCCACTTATCTTATCATAGAAGGCAATCAGTTTGGTCAGGCATGACTTGCCCTTCGTGAATCCACATTGACTGATCCTGATCACCTTCCTCAAGTGTTTCAAAACACTTATTATAGTTATGGGTTTTTGTTGTGTTTGTTTTAAGTAAACCCTATCTCCTAAACCTCAACAGATAATTTTTCCAGAGTTGTTTGTTTCTGTGGTAGTGATTGTTTATTTATTTTTTAATAGAAGACACTAGTCAGTCACCCATGTAATGCACCTTGTGTGATGAAATGCATTTAATACCATTAATGAACTTGACTCACTGTGATTGTGATGTGTGAAATCCTGGGAATCATTATCATTCTATTTTGCAAACGTGTAGTAAAATACTATTCAGATGCACCCTCTCCTCAGCTTATGGGTCAAATCCTGCTGATAATACACATGTATGCATACCAGAAAGCCCGTGTGTGGAAACGGGAAAGAATTTTGGAAGTTGCTTGCATCTGTGCATTCCTCCACAAAATTACAGAGCCCTCTCAGCACGTCTGTAACTGAACTGGTGAATCAGTATGCGTGCAATGGGGTTTTGCAATGGGAAAATGGGGAAAAAAATACATCCATATGTATTTGTGTGTACTTGTATGTATCAACATAGACCAGTGCAAGGATACTATGAAAAACACTACAAACAGCAGGAAAAAAAGAAAACTATAGTCACAACTAGTAGAACATGGTTCATATTAGTGACACTTTTTGCAGCATATTTGTGTCCATTAAGACTTTTCTATTTTAGGAAACTTGCTAGGAATTGTTCAGTACAGTTTTTCTTTTCCACTGAGTTTTCTGGGTTTACATAACATGGCTGTCAAAATGCCTGTGCCTAGTTTATAACACAATTTACATGGCTAATAGCACCAAGGAAACTATATGAACGCAGGAAACATGGTGTCATGTAAATGCATGGTTAGAGGACACTCTAATCACATTTTAGCCAGCATTTGTCAGGCTCTCTCTTTTTATTTTGAGAAGGTTCATTCATGTTTAGAAACACCTGGTTATATGAAATGGTTATAACAAGACATGCAATATGGTCCTTAGTGAATAGGCAGGCAGGAGAAATGGGATTTATTTTTGGTTCTGTCACTGATCTGCTTTTTGTAACTTTAGACAAAACTCTCACTTCCCTGTGCCTCTTTTCTCTCATTGTTTCTTTTTCTTGCTTACCTGGACAGTAAACTCACCTAGGCAAAGACTCCCTTTATTTGCTTATACAGTGGTTAGCAACATGGAGTCCTGATCTTGGATGGGGCCCCAGGCCCTACTGTAATACAAATAAGTTATTGCTATTATATTTATAACATCTGAAATACATGTTTATTACAGTGATGCCAATGTGCAGTAAAAACAAACACATTTTGGGAACATAGGAGTTGACATACTTCATGAAAATAAGGTCTAGTCAGCTGACATTTTTTGTATTTGACAGGAGCCAGTGCTGTTTTCAGAGGAAAGTGCATTAAGCCCTGCATAAAGTAATGAGAGAACCTATCCACAAGATAAGTGTCTTCTCAACTGGCTAGGGCAGAGGTTATCTTTATGCATTGGTGCACAAGAATTTACATCCTTTCTAAACTCACTATTCTGGATGTGTTCTTTCAGATGTTACTGGTGGAGCTCAGGCTCAAACTGTTTATGCAGGGACTGTGGTGTTTGTTTATTTCTGTAGTCTATCCAAGGCAGCATGGTAGGGCCATTTTGCAGGACTGAATTCTATAGCTACAGAGCACTGAGTTTGTTAACAAAGGCCTTTGTTTGAGGGTGTCTTAATACTGTAATTGGTTTTAAAATAAAAAGATGAGGGAATATGTGAATTCCTCTACAGAATCTTCCCCAAGTTCTTTCTGCAGCAGTGTTATGGTGCAATGCAGGAGTTTGGAAACCACTACGGTGATTGTTGTGACACAGTACTTTTTAAAAAGGGATGTTATTTTAGTGAATGGAGATGGGGCCTGGACCAAAAGCTACATCCCCACCAGCCCCAAAGGTGACCTGTGGCTCTGCACTTCAGGACCTGCCCAATTCAAAATGGGCAAAACTTCAAGTTCTCATATGGATTGGGGTGCAAATTCTGTGGTTAGGGTCTTGGTGGAGTTATGACAGGCAAATTACGGTGCCATCCGAAGGTGCTGCTCCCATGCAGTTTTGGAGAGGAGAGGAAAGGAAAAGCTCTGTGCTGCGTGTCAGCTGAGGCTGGGGGGGAAAGAGGGGTCTGCTTCAGTCTGAACTTTTCCCTGTCGTTGGAGCTGTGCTGAGGCCGGGGGTGCAGGGCTTCTCTGCAGAGGCAGGGGCCAGTTTGCTGGGCCCCAGGCCCCCCTCACCTTGCTCAGCCTCGGGCATTGTTTGCAAACCTCATTCCTTCTGCTTCCGGAGGCAGCGCCGGGGATGATTTGCTGCAGATGACATCAGCTGTGGATGCTGGAGCAGCGGCAGCAGCAACGCGCCGGGATGTGCCGGGTCCCCTCCTCCTCCTCCTCGGGTCCCAGCCCTGCACCGTCTCGGTATAAAAGCGCCGCCGCCTCCCCGCCCGCCTTCACTCGCCTGCTGCCCGCAGCCCGGCAGCACTCGGCAGCAGCTCCGCGCCGAGGCGGGGCGCACCGC